GGGGCGGGTGGCGTACATGGCCAGGCCCCACCCCCTGGCCATGTACATCACTGCCCCGCCCTCTTCCCCATCCGCCGTGGCGCTCGGCTGACTTCTGCTCCGCTCAGCCGGGCCGCCGTGGGGGAGCAAGCGGCGCAAGTGGCCATTTGGGCCCCGTGCTCCCCATACAGCACAGGCCGCCCAAAGGGAACAGCCAGGATTTCAGGCAACAGCGCCGCCCAGAGGGAAAAGCCAGCATTTCAGGCAACAGCACCACTCAGAGGGAACAGCCAGAATTTCAGCATTACAGACTCACAGACACTGGGCTACTATATATATGATGTATGCCTTTTGTTTGGGACTGCTTGCAGGCTCTTTTTTCTACAAGCTGTAGGAGATGTTTCTGTCATGGACTCTGATACCCCGTGCCTTTTGTTTGGGACTGCTTGCAAGCTCTTTTTTCTACAAGCTGTAGGAGATGTTTCTGTCATGGACTCTGATACCCCGATGGAGACTATGGCACCACTTGTCATGAGATTGTCACACTTGGTAAATTTGCATAAATGAAGCAGAACTATTACCTCTAGAAACATTAAGAACACATCCTGTCTGGAACACAAGAAGCCAACAGAAAGCATCAAAGTGAAATTTCAACATGTAAAAACCAAGTTATAGCAAGCCTATCAGAAGCTGTGCAAATCTGAACTGGATCAAGTTCTGTGAAGAGCTACAGAGAGCATTAGATACAGGAAACCTCAAAGTCATGGATGGCAGCCTGAAGAAGGCTGTAAGTCCTATTGTCAACAACACAGCAGTAAAATCATTAGAGATAAGAATAAGCAATTTTCCCATTGAGTTGAAAACTATTCAGGGCTCCATGCACAAGAAAGAAACATCACCAGTGAATCATGGGATCAAATACCAACTCTACAGATCATGCCAGAGCTAGATGTAGAGCCACTGTAGAAGAGCTAAGCACAGCCACTGATTTGCCACCAAGTGGCAAGAGTCCTAGAAAATATGCCATCCCAGTAGGGAAATCTTCAAGTGTGGGAAAGAGGCTGTTACTATCTCTGGGGAAGGATATCCCTGGAGCGTGAGCTTAAAGAACCCCCAAAGTCACCAGAAGGGAGCCACCCGCATGGAATGAACAAACATCACACCTTGTCTGAGACCCAATATTCAGGTTGTATTGGCACCAAGATAAAAACAAAAGTAGTCAGCACCCTGAGGACTGGCCAGGACATCACAGTCCCATTTGGTACCAACCCTGAAGACAGCACAAAAGTCAGTGTCAGTAAGCTGTACCTGAGTCAGCTTCAGTGCCAAAGATGGCAATGGTGCCAATGTACTACTCAGTACTGATAAGAAGGCAGTGCTCAATTGTCCACTGTGAGCATCAGGCAATGCTGACAACTGGGACATGTTTGTCATCACACCAGGCAGTGGTGTCTGGGCTACTGAATGCTCTTGAGCAATTAGAGAAGCAGGAACAGAGAGAGGCAACGCAAGTCTGATGCTACCTATACTCTAATGGCACAGAAACAGTTGAACTGATGCTGCCTGGATAACAGATAGCCCAGCTCCATCTCACATACCTGAAGGAGCCCAGTCTGCAGTCCTCCTGGACGAGAAGAATGACAGCTCTGAAGTAGCTGCAGTCCATTTTATGAGACCTTTTTCTCAGAGGACCTAAGGAAGAACAATGACCTGTCTTCCTCCTAGAAGAGGCAGTAGAGTCTGGCTGAGGAACTTCAGCTTGCTCCAGCTCCGAAGCTGTCTGAGAAGCTGAATAACCTGTAGGAGTCCCTTATGCCAAAGTGGGCTTCGTGGTCTGTTCTAAAAAGTATTGCTTAAGACTCAAATCCCTTGCCATCAGAGTTCTTTTCTTGAGACTCACTGATGGAGCACCTTTCCCTAATGTACCTCTCTCCTACACACAATACACACTACTGGGAATAGCCACCCCTCACAATGGACAGTGTTTGAATTCGAATGAAGACATCCCATCACTATGACAAGTTAATCTAACTCGCATTAGGGGCACCATTAACTATAACAAAAACCCAAACAATGGAGCTAAGAAACAATGTTATGGAAAGAGCACATGAAGCACTTCAACTGTAGTTATGGGTAGTGAGAAGGAATGTCAGGCTGTCGTGTCCCTTAAATAGCTGGAGGATAGGCTAAAAACCACTGGATGCAAGCTCTGTCTCTCTGGGTATAAGGCTAGGTTCTCTGGCTTCAGAATGTGAGCTACACACTAGGGATGTTAAATATTGGTTAACTGAATAGTTGAGTAACCTCATGAATTCTTATCATGTCTCTATAGTCTATAGACTATTATGCTATAGTCTCCAGGGGTGGGACCAGCAGCCTATGTGCTCTGGCCTCACTACCAAGGAGCCTGTACCAGAGGCAGCAATTCAGGGGGTCAGTGGGGAGCTGGTCCAGGAGGGGAGCCAGTGAGGAGCCTGTACCAGAGGCAGCAATGCAGGGGGGTCAGGTGGGAGCTGGTCCAGGAGCGGAGCCAGTTTAAAAAAAAAACAGCTCCCCTTACCGACTGGATGCCTGTCCCCCTGTGTTGCTTCCTCTGATAAAGAGGCAGCAGCATGGGGTGGCAGCAGTCCCTGTCTAAGGGGGGTCTGGGCTGCCTGCCCACCAAGCTTCTAATAAAATTTTAAATGCAGAGCCGCAGCAGGGGTAGGTCCCGGACCTGTTGTAAAACAGGACTGAGCCGGGCTTCTGGCTAAAAAACTGACTGGGAAGGAAGTGGAGAAGTGGAGAGGGAAATGCATGCAGTGTATAGCATTAACCTATAAACTTTTGCTTATAGGTTAATCGACTACACTATTATATCCCTACTGCACACACACACGTGAGTGGAATACACATCAAAAAACACTCAAAGAAGTAAACATCTGCTACCAACACATATTACACTTTTTCTATTATCTGCTGTTATACTGTAGTATAAAAGACACCTAGGCCAAACACTTTTCCCAGGTATTTTGGTGTAAATCTGTTGAAATACCATTGATATAAGACAAAGCAGTACTTGATTCACTTGCTTCCAAACAATTTGCCCTATAGAACAGAGTAATACAGCTGAATCAGAGTGGGTAAAAATTGATGATTAATAAAAAAAAATAAATCAATAAAATTCTAAATATCTCATTTAAAAATAACAGTTACAATTAAATCTCATCACAAACATGCTACACATACACTTAGTGTCTCACAAAAATGAATTAATGGCTCTAGTCTGTCTAGCCTAATTACCAGCTCTTGCTTCTTGAAAGTTCTGGGCTTTCAACTTCTGTTTCTCAGCAGACTAAAAAGTAATATGTTCAAAGAAAGACAAACTGGATAAGTTTGTTCTGTGATTATGTGATGGTGGACCTTCAACCAAACATGGCAAAGGCGTTAGTTAAGACATAATATATAGGAAAGGACAGAGGCAGCATAGAAAGGAACAAAGGAACAATGGAAAGGAAAAAAAAAAAACGAACATTATTCAGCACAGACACCATACTATATTCCCACCACACTTGTCACATAAAAACTGACGAACATTATTCAGCACAGACACCGTACTATATTTCCACCACACTTGTCACATAAAAACTGACATAGCTTCTGTTCGTAAGACACACCTTTTCAGGGAATATTTTGAAGAAATTTATTCTCTGGGTAAAAAGGAAAACATGTCAAATGTAAGCAGTGCAAGATGATGCAATGCTTAGCTGCAAGAATGAATCATCATAAGCAAAACGGCTTACTGGGAGAAAATTATGTGAATGAAAATGGGGATATGACTAAGTGGATCAACTTAAATCATTCACTTTGCAATGTATTATTCTTGAAGACTCTTTCTATGCCTTTTAGTATAAGTGTGATTTGACAAGTAAATTCCCAAGCTGTTTGCTGTTTTGGATGTTGCTAGAAAAAAAGTGTATCTTAGCTAATTCTTATGATTTAATTAGTTAACTGGGTTTAGAATCTGTTATTCAAGAATACAATACAGAAAGATGCAGTAAGAGAAATCCAGAATTGCCAGTTGTCACTGAGTGTCATTTTCTTATTTATATTACATGCCCCTTATTCTGGAACTTCATAGCCACAGACCATAACAGTGATTCCATACGTCTATTCCCTATTTTACTTCAGCATAATTCAGCTTTTCCAAGGAAACTCAGTTCTATACTTGTTTTCTCAAAAAAACAGAATGGCTAATGAACTCTATACTTGTCTTCTCAAAAAAACAGAATGGCTAATGAAGTTAGTGGCGCTTACTCCAAATTAAGTGCACTCTTAGCACAATTTTATCTTTTCTGGAAATTTGATTTAAATCAATTATTTTTTTGATTGCTTAAATTGTGATTTAAATCAATGATTTAAACTGCCTTGATTTAAATCAATCCAGCCTAAGCTAAATATGATTAGGCCATTAGAAGGGAGAATCATAAATAGTATGATTTTCCCTTCTAATGGCCTAATCCTATAAAGGTGCTGGGCACCTAAATTTCCCAAATATGTTTAGTATGGGAAATGCTTAGCACCTTGAAGGATCCATGCCCTTACCTGTTAAAACAAAAATCAACCTTACTAATAGATTTAGACATCACAGAATTGTAATTCTGGGATACATTCCAGGTCTATGGAGATAACTGAACTTAAAGTTTTGTGGTTTCATCTTGATGGATTTTTTCAGGGAAGCATGTTTAAATTTGTTTCCAAGGGAGAGGGATTTTTACAGGCATAAAGAGCAACTGGGCATTTAGCTTGTGAGCGAGGGGTGGGGACAATGGGAGTTGTGCCTAGCTCCTCTTTGTGCCTTTGAAATATCTCTACTTAGGAATATTTCTGCATGACTAAATGCACACTCTTATTCTCTTCAAATATGTGAGGTTTGGAACCGGCTCCCTCCCATGCCAGCCCAGTTTGTCCTTGGTCTTGCAGCGAAATCAAGCTAGTGCTCTGAACACTAGTCTAATGCCATGTAAGTAACTGATTTGTGGCAAGGAAGCACAAAACAGGAAGTAGTGGACTGAAAGGCCCTATTTCAGGAAAGCACCCCATTAAAAAAGGGCACCTAATGAGAAAACTCTTATTTAAAGAAAATACTTGATATATAAACAAACAATGCCAACAGACTGGACAATTTTTCCAAAACAGTAACTTTCACTGTACCATTTGGTTGCTCAGGTTGTGCAGCTTGTGCCACTAGGTCCTTGTTATGCCTCAAAAACAGTATTGTGTTTCTCAGAGTTAGTGCATGATCAAAATATCTCTGGGCCTCCCCTTCACCTGTGCTTTGAACCTAAACAAAAAATATTAACATGTACATTTTCTGTAAATTCGTTTCACAAATAGTTACATTAATACGTTATTACAAACATTCTATAGTCAGCTGGAAAAGCTTGTCAAATACCGTAATGTATGCATGTGACAGACATAATACTGATGAAGAAGAGGAATCAAAAAAATTAAATCAAACAGCTTCACTTATAGTGTATCATCATTGTTCAACATAAATTACCACTTAAGAGCCTTCTGGGAAAGAATGCCATAATAAAGGTAGAGCTATCATAGCAATTACAGGAAAAAAAAAATCTACAAATGTTCAACCTTATAGTCATCCTAAGGAATTGATTTGTTTAGTTAGATATAAGTTCTAAACATTTTAAAGGTTTAAAAGAATTAAATTAAAAAAAAAGAAAAAAAAGGTCTGGCAAGTTGTGGTCTGCAAATTCCAATTTTTAATGGTAAAGTTTTCAAAAGTCTATGCACGTTTAGATACCCAAATCCAGAACATAAAAAGCCAATGCTAGCACACAAGTTAATGTGTATGCACTCGTGTATCTATAAATGCATGCAAAATAGGGCTTATTAGGTTCAGTGTATTTGAGTATCTTCACTTGGTGACTTTTTTTAGGGCCACATTATCGGAAGTTCATGTATAAAAGTATAGTCACTATGAGAACAGATATATAAGGCAGTCACCATTTTAACGGGACATAAACTGAGGATAGCATATTCCCCACTCAGCTGTTCCGACAAATATTATTATGCACAAAAAAGTAATAAGGCTCCAAAAAGTAAAGTACATGATCAAACACACACATTAAATACTGATATTGTAAAACATAACCCATATAAAACATGTTACTGATACTGTAAAACATAACCCATATAAAACATGTTAAGCTCTGAAAGCTTTATACTATGAGGGTTACCTTTTCAAGTTCCACAAGAAAACTATCCAGAGACTCATCTGACAATTTTCCAACTTCAAACATAGTTACTGCATGACTTTTCAAGTTCTGCAATGATATAATCCAAATATAGTGTATATAAGATTTTTTTCTCAGATTCTTATCACTGAGAGTGGGAGATTTAACATACATGTTTTATAAAGTAACAGAATTTGCTTAAACAAATTACCATTAAAACTGCTAAACAATTGCCACAAAAGGTACTAATATCATTAGAGATGCCACGTACTAGAAGACAAAATAGTTTCTACACATTGACAAATTGAACAATCTGACATACTGGTGAAAGATTCCCCATCATTAGAAAGGCAGTGAGAGTTGAATCAAACAGAAAGGCAATACGCTTTGTGTGTCCACTAGACAGATTCAAGCTGCTCACGCTGGCTGTGTCAGCTAATAAAACAAAGAAAGAATTTGTTAAATAAAATAAATAAGATTACTATAAAAACATTTTCTTTAAGCAAGACTTAAAATCGTAAAACTAGATCTATGTATGAACTAAACAAATAAATAACACGCCCACTGTACCATACTGAGTCTTATAAACATGTCCTTTACCACTATCACAACACTATGTAACACTTATCCAATTAAAAATTTAATATTGTGGTAATTTTATTTCCATTTAGGAAGAATTCTACTAACATTCATAATGCAGATTGATTAAAACAACTGTTTTTTGAGGTGGGGAGATATAACTTAAAAATAAAAAAGGGGAAAAAACTCAAATATTTGATGTTAAGTATTTATACAATACACCTCCCGCCCCCTCCATATATGATGTTATAACTATAAGTAATTATTATGTATGTGTCAAGGCATTTTATAAACAACCAATTGATTCTAATATATCAATTCAATATGGGTACTAACCTGGGTCATCTTGACTGTTTGTGTCAGTATCTGTAGCTGATGAACAAGCTTCCTGTACAGGACTCCTGTTTTCCCCACTGTCCCATGCAAGCAACATCTTTTGAGGATCTAAAGTACTCCTATTAAGATAAAGTCTGTGTCTATTATCACCATAGCCCCATGGCAGTAGTTCTGCATGCTAATCTCATGATATCTAATGCTTGCTCACTGACAGATTATGAAAACCACTATAAATACTATCCAAGCCAGATCAAACATTTCACACTAACATAGTAAGTATATTTATTGATCCAGCTTCTGCCCTCAAACTAGCCTGTAGTCAGAGATTTACAATCTTCAACTGATTTACAATCTTCAGTCTTCAAGACCCAACAGGATTGCCAGAGCACCCAAGTACACAGTCTGATTTAAAACCAGAAAGTACTCTAAGCCAAAATGTCAATTTTATAGTAATATTTGGAGCACTTGTCAATGAATGTTACCACCAATAATATATACCCAAGAGCTACATGTGCGTTATCTTCATTTTATATATTGAAAATGAAGAAAAATAATTAAGTTATTACTAAGACCACAAAGGGAATATCAGTGCCAGAATCAAGGGTGAAACTTAGTATGTCCTACCTGGCAGCTCAGTTGTCAAAACTATATTTTTCAAATATCTCAAGAAACATGGCAAGATACTTACTTTAGTCTATTTATAGAAGGGATGTTCCTCCATGATGAATGAAGATTTTCCAGATTCATTACTTGGCCTTTTTTGTGGGCAAAACCCAATCGACAATACATGGACACAGCATTCTGAAGAAACAAAGATATCAATAAAAGACTGCTAAGTGTCATAATGTAGTTTTAGCATCTATTTAAGAAGGCGTGTAGTAAAACATTGGAGGGTTTTTACTTTAGACAATTAGATGCTGTGGATATAGTGTTCAGACATACCTTCACCAATGATAAATCTATTTCTAGAACATTTGCAAGCTGAAAAATAGGAAAAGATATGAGACAAAATAAAAATAGTTAATAAGTGATTCCTGTGTTATTGCTATGCACTACTCTTTTTGCCAAGGAAAAGGTAGTGCCACTTACAGAGGGGGAAATGTTATCTGCTTTTCTATTTTTTTTTAAAACTTAGCTACTAGCACATTCAATAAAGCACAGACTCATCTCTGGAAAGCTACACACGCAGCTTTTAAACTTAGCTACTAGCACATTCAGTAAAGCACAGACTCATCTCTGGAAAGCTACACACGCAGCAGTATGGTTGTGCAGGTAGACACTGACAACAGGAAAAGCATTTATTGGTAATTCACAAGCCTGTTTCCTGGTCCTTCCAGTTTCCCCCGCCACCCTGATGCAGAAACAAGCTAAGCATTACTAACCTCTGCCACATTAGTATGTTCATCTATTGAAACAAATATCTTGTAGAGAAGAGTTTCAAAGTAATCACCTTGCAGTCTGTTCATTACAAAACCTTCAAGTGGAGGCACTGGAAAGAAGAATTATTTTATTACTATTGTTTAAGAACTTAAAGTTTTCAGAATATTTTGATTGCTTAAAAGTTAGGTTATGTTTAAAAAAAGTCTTCTAACAAACTTTATTCTAGTTCAGACTGTGAGGTAATTTACAGTATTTTCCCTCCAAGTTCAAATTTAGTCATTGAGCTTCTTTGGTGTCTTTCCAATTCTATACACCTTCCAAAATTTAACTCAGCTAGAAAACTCAAATCATTCTATGAAATATTTACACTCAACAATTGTCTAAATCACAAGTTTTCCTGTTGATATATTCTCCCACAACAGCTAAAGCCATTCTGTCCAGCCATATTGTAAGACCCCACTTAAGTCAACTTGCAGTCAACAACCCATCACCTGTAAAAAAATATTAAACCACTCCAAAGCCACTTAAACACAATTAAAGCCTGTCCTTGAAATTCCATCCAAAATATGTGGGGAGCTAGTGCAGCACTCAAAAAATAGTAATTGCTTTCTGCATGTTGTATAAATTATTCATTGGGCAGCCACATGGTGGAGCCAGCTTTCAAACTAGTTCCTCTCACATACTGGCTCCTATGGAGCTACCTACCCCCCGGTCTGCTCCCTCTGTAACAGTGGTTACACATTTACAAATGAAGACCCCATTTCATATTTCTATGAAAGACTTTTTTACACTAGGGATGTTAACAATCAGCACTCAAAAAAATGAAACCAAGTTTTCAGGAATCAATCTCTTCCCAAGAAAACATAGCTAGTACTTCTAAAACATGCACTCACCTGCTATACAACTGTCATCAGATATTGGTACATCAAGGTAAATAAATCCTTTATTATATAAACCTTTAAAAATAAAAAGATATATTTACTCAAGTATTAATGATATTAGTAGATGCTACACTTTTACATCCATTCAGGAAGTTTTATCCTCTCCCATGCCTTGCCCCAGAATTATATATAATTACACAGCTATGCACAGACCCAGAACAATAACTAGACATTACATTAAAGCAAAATCCTAAATTATTCACAGCACAAAGATAAGGTACAATTTGACTGGCAACAATATATTCACTTCAGAAACAGGGATCAGGATAGTAATAGGGTACGGGAAAAAGGGTGATCAAAAATTAAAGGCAACTATGTTTATTGCAGAGATACAGGATATATCTAAACCACGGTTAATCTGGATTCTGAGTTTTAGTTTTTACCCTCTACCATCCACATAGAAAGACCTCTGACTCAGGTTTACCTTGCTAGGCATTTGTGTTGGAGTCTGAGCTCTAGTTTTAATTGGACAGGAACCCACAGTTAAGATACAGACTTAAGTCACTCAAGTGTGGATAGCCCCCCCAAGCCTTCCCACAAGCCACCCTCACCTGAAGGACAGACAAGTTCTCTCACAAATAACTAGGAAACAATCCTAGAGTGTATCAGCTCAGAGAACCAATGTGCATCTAGGGATGGTCTAGACAGTACTGGGTCCTGCCATGAGGGCAGGGGACTGGACTTGATGACCTCTCGAGGTCCCTTCCAGTCCTAGTATTCTATGATTCTATGAATATACATGGGAACACTGAAATAGTGAGGACACGGTAATAAGGGTAAAGCTTTGTAATAGGGATACTTGCACTAGGACTAAGATGAACTGAGTAGTCAACGTGGGTGCCAATCACCCACATAATTGTGCAGCATGAACATAGCTATGGAGAGGGAGTTCAACGAGCAAGCCCCAGAGAGCACATTTCAACATAACAACCTAAGAGACCTGGCTGTTACTTTAAGAATTTTATCATGAGCTAATAAAGCACAAACATTGCTCAGCAAGTGAATTAGGTGTCTGTTTATCTCTGATCCTTGATCAGAGAGCTCATCTATTCCCAATTCAGTATAGCAGAAAGGACACAATGAGCACTTAAATAAAAATACATATATATTTAAAAGTAACTCCTTATTCTGGTGTCCAAGCATTTTATTTAGCCCAGGATAGGACATTTGAGGATAGCTACCTCAAAAGTTACCACCTCCAAAAAGGAAAATAAGAAACAGTAGAAATTTTCACAAGTAAATTGCCAGGCCAACAGGCAACCAGGCAAGCAAGCTTGATAAGGCAGTTTTAGTACTATAAGGATTTGAGTTACAGCTGTACATAATATTTTAGAAATACAGCTTAAACAGAATTCAGACTGGAATCCTGTTTTATGGTAGGAACTGCATTGCCTTTGAAAAAATAAAGATACACACTATACATTATGGACTACATCAGCGATGGGCAAAGTAGGCTAGTATGTGGGTGCATAAGTGGCCCTCCATCTCAGGCTGTGTCCAGACTCAGGGTTTTTTTCGAAAAAAGTAGCCTTTTTTCGAAAAAACCTCACCTGCGTCTAGACTGTAGCCGCATTCTTTCGAAATTAAATCGAAAGAACGCAGCTTTTCTTTCGGTGGCGGTAAACCTCAATTTACGAGGAAGAACGCCTTCTTTCGAAAGTTCCTCTTTCGAAAGAAGGCGTTCTTGAATGTAAATAGGGCTTCTTCGAAAGAGAGCATCCAGACTCACTGGATGCTTTCTTTCGAAAAAGCAAGCCACTTTTTCGAAAGTTCAACGTGCAGTCTAGACGCTCTCTTTCGAAAGTATCTTTCGAAAGAGCGTCTTTCGAAAGAGGCTTGCAGTCTAGACATAGCCTCAGTGGGCTGCAAGATTGTTGCAACCAAGACACTTAGAATTTGGGGGGAGAGTGCCAATTGAAATTGGGGGGAGGGTGCCAATTGAACTGCAGCAGCACTTTGATTGGATGCAGAGAGAACACATGCCTCTCACAGTTAACATTGTATGCAATCAGCACACATCTCACTTCACATGTCCTTGCTCTATATGCATGTCTCTTTAATAATACTGGTAAGAAAAGAAAAAAACAACGTGAATGGAAACCAGCAGAATCTGGCAACCCTATGCATGGGCAACAGTCAACAAAATGTCTCGCAGGTCACACACAGAACTCCCAATGGCCTGCATGTGGCCCCTGGGCTGCAAGTTGCCCACTGGTGAGCTACACACTGACAAGTCTGCACAGAGTAGGTAGCAACCCAGACAGGCTGATAAGCATGTATAATACAAGGGTAGCCTTTGTCATAGGCCAGGAAGATGCATGGTAAGCTGAACAACTCAAAGTGGGGTGATTTTATTGCTTTTTCCAGGCATTATGTTCATTGCTGGTGCAAGTTCTCACTTGCTGTGTATGGCAGCTTACACACAACAGATCTGAGGCTATCCAAACCTCTCACATAAAAGTCCACATTTTCCACCCACAAAACAGGGCAGAATCCAATGTTAGGCACACTGCTGTTTGCACACTGAGTCTGCATCCTTTTCTTTCCTCAAGCACAGGCAGTACTTCACCCTAAATATCTCGAAGGATCGCTGTCAGCATTTTCACAGTTTTTTGGAGTTTTGTGTTTCTGAAACCCTCTACTGTTCTTGCATCCATTCAAAAGCTTGAATTAATCTCCCACTCTTTCTACAAATAGGTTTTGTCCTGTTCCATTTAACAAACATTGAACTTTTTCCTGCTCTTCTCATGGGGTGGAATACACAGTATAGAACAGTTTTATTTGCTATCTTATTTGCCATCAGCAACATCAGTGCCACCAATGGATTATGTACAGACAACTCAGAGAAAAACAACTAACAGAGTTAGTCACATTACGCTCCCTCTGCTGAACATAATGACTAGATTCAAAATATGTTTTCTATGAAAAAAAAATGGACAGACACACAGTTTCTCAGCCTGAAATTGGTAGATCTTTGGGAAATCAGTATAAGATTGTCCCAACTAGATCATGATATTCTTAAAAGGGGCCCACATTTGCTATTTGATACTGCTCTTCAGAACAGAATCAATTACTATTTTAAATGCTCTCCTCTCGCCAAATAGTATACATTTGATGAGTAACAGTAAATTGAAACAATGTGTCTCTCTCATTTGGGTCAATAGAACCCTGAATTCTATACACGCATAAGTACAGTAAAACTCCAATAGTACGGCATCCGATAGTCCGGCACTCCTGATAGTCCGGCATCAAAATGGCAAGAACCTAGTGAGTGAGCTTTGGCAAAAAAAGAGAGTCACAAGGTAACAGCGGCAGCAGCTAGGGTAAAAAAGGCTTAAAAAAACTAAAACATTACAGTATACTGTATTCAGTATGTACAATAAAAAGGGTTAAGAACACTTTATATACAGTACATAATGTATACAGTATAAATAAAAAACCTGCTTATAGTACCTCCTGATAGTCCGGCATATCTGATAATCCAGCACCACCTAAATCCCATAGGTTCCGGATTATCGGAAGTCTACTGTATGAGATTTCGTCTAATGTGTCATTGTGGGGAAGCCATTGTGTCATTTCAAATAGAAATAATGACATCTGTCAAAATATATACTGCTAGGAATCAATGTTATGCTATTTATGAAACATTGCTTCTAAGTGATTTGGGGTTTAACTGTTTGGGTATGTCTACACTTGCACCCTAGTTCGAACTAGGGATGCAAATCCAGGCATTCGAAATAGTAAATGAAGACAGGATTTAAATATCCCGCGCTTCATTAGCATAATCTCAGCCGCAGAACCCAGCTGATTTGAAAGTGAAAGTGTGCTCCGGGCCGCGTTAGTTCGAATCAAACCCCTTGTTTTGAACTAATGGTACTCCTCAAAATCAAGGGGTTTGATTCAAACTAACGTGGCCCGGAGCATACTTTCACTTTCGAATCAGAGTTAAAACCCGGCTTCATTTACTATTTCGAATGCCTGGATTTGCATCCCTAGTTTGAATTTGGGTGCAAGTGTAGACATACCCTTTCTCTTTTCCTCCACTCTTGTTTTATTCCATAATATTTTCCATCTCATATCTTACTAAATGCTAAAAGCTTCTATGTTCCTTTTACTCCTACTTTGAACTGGTCTTCAAATTCTTCCTCAATAAATTCTACAGTATATAGAAATGCCACATTTGTTAAACACTTACTGTGAACTACATTGTAGTCTAGTGATCCAGCAAGCTGAGGACCTGAATCAATTATTTTATCAATAACAGATTTCTCCGATGCAGTACAAATCTATGTAAAAGAAAACATGTTAATTTCTAGTAAGATCTGTCTATACATTTTCATACACAGTCATTCAAAATTAAAAGTTGTCAATTTTAAATCAGTGAAAACTAATAAAGGCATCTTTTCACAAGAAAGTTAGTATATGATCAATAGGTTTAAGCTTGCCATAGTAGTTTAGTTTGTTACTCTTGTCTCTGCAGAAGTAACCTCATTTCAAGGTTACACATGCCTCTTGAAGGTTTATTTAGTTTACAGCTTGCTGAAGATTTAATAAGTGAAGTTCAGATTAAAATAGAGGTTTTCAAATTCACTGATGATAGTTTATTTCTATTCTATTCTAGTTTATTTTTATTTTAGGATTCCATAACTGCAAAATGATTTAAATAGAGGTGTTGTATTTTGATCCTAAACTTATCCTATTTTAGAACTGTTATAGTTCAATAAGCTGTATTGAAAATATACAGCTAAAAAGATGAGCATTGTATCTGAAATGTACTAAATTCCATCCAAACTTCTCAATCCCTGCTTTGAACAATTTACAATCTAAATGAGAAAAGCAACATAACACAATTGTTTCTTTTTGTTTCTTAAATCATGTTCATCGTACAGTTCATGGACATTCGTTTAAAGAAAAATGTCTTTCATGGTGATACTGAAATAAGTTTGATACCACATAACCCAGGAATCAGAATTTACAGGAAAAGAGAAAGTATACCCATCTAAAAATCCCTTACCACTATTTCCGTAAGAAATTCTACTACATTAAGAGATAAACAGTACAGATTTGTAATTTTCCCCCATTCTCTCAGTAATTAGTGTCTTAATTTGGTTGAACACAATACCTTGATGTCATCCTCTGTGATGTAGCCAGCCTGCACCACCCACCAGGCCTCTATAGCAATCTCCACAGGCTTTACCGGTAGCAGATCACGAGCAGTTTTCCTTCTGAAAAATTTCTGTAGTGGTACAATCCATATGAGATTGTACAAATTAAATGTTATTGATTATATATAGAGATGTCAGCAATGTCCTTTACACCATAAAACAACTATTTCTAAATGCTCATTCTCAGAGTACTTAATATTCAAGCATTAAACAAACATTTCAGGATACCTTAGTAGGTGGGAAGACTGCAGTCTTTATTCTTAAACCCCAAAGGAATGCACATGTATATAGCATGCAGGGATACAGATCAATGTTCCCTGTAAACTGTGCACTTGTGTGGCCAATCAGGAGAGAATCAACTGGGCAGCATTTGAATAACAGAGGGCCACAAGTAGGCTTTTTGTTTCTACTGGTGGGGCATATTTGCACATGCTTCGGTACACAAAAAGAAAAAATGTTTCTGCACACGAAAAGACAAAATACACACGTGGATGGAAAAGATTGGTGTGAGCAGTGATAAAGATGTGTTAAAAAATCCTCTCCTCCAAATCAAATAAAAGTGGGAAAATGAAGATTTACCCGCAGTTTTTAAGCTTTCACATAAGTCAATTTGCATGTGAGTGTACATATTTAATTAAAAAATGAAAACTGTACTGAAATTGCTAGTATGAAGTCCAGGCACACAAGCATTTTAAGAGCAAAAAAGCAGAGACTGAAAATACAGGATAGCATACAACATATCAAATGTGGAGTGTTGTTGTAGGCAGAATACTTTATAAAACTAATAAAGCATCATAAAATCACATATTGTTTATTTCTAATGACAATTATACTATTCTAGAGTAGCTTGATGCTGTGAGCTACTATAAACTTCAGTTCATGAAAGAACTGCTAGAGGGTGCTGTTGTATTGATGCAGATAAGATTACTCTTCTCACATTAAATATAGCCCTAATCTGTTTGTTTCACTCAGCCAATACTACATTCTTTAAAAAGAAAATACTGTTGCAAACTGAGCTCATAAAAAGGGCTAGATCATGCAGATATCAATCAGGAGATAATCTGATGTAATTAGCGGAACTGCTTACAAAAAAAAAAAAAGGACTGCATGATCAGATCCAACACTGCATCCTCTAACACAGTATGTGAGCAGTATGCAAACTAAACAGAATTTACACTAGCTACTTTTGATTATAAACTTGAGGCATATAGGGAAAACTATGCTCTCAATTATACCAGCATAAATATGGAATAACTCCACCAATGCCATAGATATTACTTCAGATTTGCACTTGTCAAAAGAAGAATTCAGTCCCAGTCTTTGTCTAAGGCTATGTCTAGACTACAAGCCTCTTTCGAAAGAGAGCGTCTAGACTGCACGCGGACCTTTCGAAAAAGCAAGCCGCTTTTTCGAAAGAAAGCACCCAGTGAGTCTGGATGCTCTCTTTCGAAGAAGCCCTATTTACATTCAAGAACGCCTTCTTTCGAAAGTGCTCTTTCGAAAGAAGGCGTTCTTCCTCGTGAAATGAGGTTTACCGCCGTCGAAAGAAAAGCCGCGTTCTTTCGATTTAATTTCGAAAGAATGCGGCTGCAGTCTAGACGCAGGTTAAGTTTTTTCGGGAAAAGGCTACTTTTTCCGAAAAAACCCCTGAGTCTGGACACAGCCTAAGAGAGCACCTTGGACATAATATAGTACTGAAGTAGTAGTAACAACAAACAAAGCTGGCGATTTTTTTTTTTTTTTTTGCTTTTTATCACAATTACAAATATTATAATGGCTTTGAAGAAACATACATATATTACTGTATTAGCACATGAAATATTATGTATCCTATCCCTACCTACAACAGTTTTGTCAAGATGCTGCCAGGAACAGAGAAGCAGGATCCACATTTAGGGTGTGTCTAGACTACAGGGTTTTTTCAAAAAAAAGTAGCCTTTTTAAAAAAAAACCGGCACCTGCGTCTAGACTGCAGCCACATTCTTTCAAAAGTAAATCGAAAGAATGCGGCAGGTTTTTCACTACGAGGAATAACACCTTTTTTCGAAAGTACTCTTTCGAAAAAAGGCACTATTGAATGCAAACTGTCCTTTTTTGAAAGAGCATCTAGACTCTCAAAAAAGCGGCTCGCTTTTTCAAAAAAATCTGCTTGTAGTCTAGATGGTCTCTTTCGAAAAAGCCTCTTTTGAAAGAGGCCTGTAGTCTAGATGTAGCCTTAGAATAGATGGAAAGAAAGTTAAAAGCAAAAAAAAACTTACTTTTGATGACCTACACTGGTTCATTAGATCAATGTACTGGTTTCTTCCTATACCAAGAAGCCGTAGACCTGTGAAGTAAATGTTCGATTTTCTTTATGAAAAAAATATTTTTTAATTGAAGATGTGAGAATTTGTTATTCCAATTTTTAAAGCAGTTCTGAATTTCATGAATGTTTTCAATACTTCCTTTTTTTACAGAAAGATCAACTAGTCTCACATGCGACATAACACAGTCCATAGAATTTCCCAAAGGTAATTCCTAGAGTAGATTATTTTGAAAAAAATTGGCTACAATATCATCTGGAGAGCGCATGTTCATGATTATTCACCATGACCCCCAAATCTACAAAGTCACTGCTTCCGAGGATTGAGACCCCCATCCTGCAAGTACAGCCTACATTCTTTGTTCTTATGGTACATATTTATATTTAGTCTTATTAAAACACATGGGCTGTGTCTACACTGCGCCCATTTCCGGAAAAGGGATGCAGATTAGACACTTTGGAATAGGCAAATCTGCGGGGGATTTAAATATCCCCCTCAGCATTTGCATTAACATGGCTGCCGCTTTTTTCTGGCTTGGGGATAAGCCAGAGAAAAGCGCCAGTCTAGATGTTATTCTCCGGAAAATAAAGCATATTCCGGAGGATCTTTTATTCCTACTTTCAAGTAGGAATAAGAGATCCTCCGGAAAAGGGTTTATTTTCTGGAGAATAACGTCTAGACTGGCGCTTTTCTCCGGCTTATCTCCAAGCCGGAAAAAAATGCAAATCCCGTGGGGGATATTTAAATCCCCCGCGGAATTTGCAATTGCGATGTGCTACATTAGCTTCCCTTTTCCGGAAGGGATGCCAGTGTAGACACAGCCATATTGTTTGCTTGCACCCAGTAGATCTATCCAGAGCACTCTGAACCAGTTGACCTGTCTTCTTTATGATTTACTACTCTCCTATCTTGTGCATCATCTGCAAACTTTAACAGCATTTTTTACTCACAAAAGCTTATGCCCAAATAAATTTGTTAGTCATTAAGGGTCCAAAGGACTCCTCGTTGTTTTTAAGTGATGATTTTGTTTTCTTCCAGGTCATATGTTAAATAGTATAGGACCAAAAACCGATCCTTTCAGGACCCCTCTGGTAACACACCCACTTAATGACAACTCCTCGTCATCTTACTATAATGTATTCAGAAGAAAAAACACATAACTAATTTTTCTTTATGACACAAGTCACAGCACAGAGGAAAAAGAATCACAATGATGTGTCCAACATCATCATCACCACTTTAGCCTTACCTTACCTTCATTCAGCTGGTAGTAATAACTATGCTAATATCAGACACTACTGAGTTACCTGGATTTTTAATAAGGCTAGACATTTAATAAGTCTGGACACTAAGGGTGTGTCTACGCAGCAGGGCTTAACTCAAGATAAGCTATGCAAATTGAGCTACATCAATTACGTAGCTTAGTCAAAATTGGGAACATCTACACAGCACTTATTTCGAAATAGAGCATTCTTCCTTCAACTTCCTTTACTCCTCGTGCAATGAGGGTTACAGGAGTCGGAGTAAGAAGATCTCCAGCTTGACAGTATTTCAACATTTCAAAATAACTGCCTGATGTGTAGACGTGGATTAAGTTATTTTGAAATAATGTTACAGTGTAGACGTACCCTAAGAAACACAGCCAAAGGTCATCATGGCCTCTAAGAAAAGCTGTTCATTTCAACTGAACAAAATATTGATCCAGTAATCTTTACACATATAAAAAACATCAGTGAATTCAGTGTGATCACTTCCATGAGTAAGGGTTGCAGTACTGAATCTCTTCAGAATTCTTACTTACAAAAAATTTTGGTATCTCTTGCTCTCCCTGAAAACTGTTGTAGCTGTCACCTCCTGCAGATCCTCACCTTTATAAAAATAAACTTAAGGACTATAGCAATAGCCAAATGTCCACTACATATTTAGCTCTTCAAGTAAGAATAACTTCCAGTCATCTGTTGCTCAGAAATCAAGAGAACTTCATCTGTTCTCCCCCACCCACATTTTCCTGGAAGTCTAATAAAACCATAAAAAAGTGCCCTAATCCAAGTGCTGGATTCCCTGTCCCAGTTACATTTTTGTCCTCCTCTGACTAGATTTGTTCATAACATACAAAAATTAAAAATAATTCCAAGACGGTAATTAGTAACTTAGAATTTACTTCTTGAAAAATCTTGTTTTTTCAAATATGTTATGTCTTGTAAATGCTTCTTCTTAAAATATATTAAATGTTGATGTTGATAAATGGAAAGCAACGCACATTTGAAAAAAAATAATCCCAACTATATATACACAATATGATGTGGACTAATTTGGCTACAACTACTCAAGAGAAAGATGTTGGAGTCATTGTAGATAGTTCTCTGAAAACATCCACTCGGTGTGCAGCGGCAGTCAAAAAAGCAAGTAAAATGTTAGGAGTCATTAAAAAAGGGACACAGAATAAGACAGAAAATATCTTATTGCCTCTATATAAAACCATGATACATCCACATCTTGAATACTGAGTACAGATGTGGTCGCCTCATCTTAAAAAAGATATATTGGCATTGGAAAGGGTTCAGAGAAGGGCAACAAAAATGATTAGGGGTTTGGAACTGGTCCCATATGAAGAAAGATTAAAAAGACTTGGACTTTTCAGTTTAGAAAAGAAGAGACTAAAGGGGGATATGATAAAGGTCTATAAAATCATGACTTGTATGAAAAAAGTGAATAAGGAAAACTTATTTATTTATTCCCACAAAAAAAGAACTAGGGGTCCCCAAATGAAATTAATAGCAGCAGGTTTAAAACAAACAAAAGGAAGTTGTTCTTCACTCAGAGCATAGTTAACCTGTGGAACTCCTTGCCACAGGATATGGTGAAGGCTCGAACTTTAACAGGCTTCAAAAAAGAGCTAGATATATTCATGGAGGTTAGATACATCAATGGCATCCCTAGCCTCTGTATCTCTGGAGGTGGGTGACAGGAGAGGGATCACATGAGGATTACCTGTTGTGATCCCTTCCTCTGGGACATCTGGTATTGGCCACTGTCAGCAGACAGGATACTGGGCTAGATGGACCTTTGGTCTGACCCAGTATGGCCATTTTTATATTTTAAGTTCGGATGCAAAAAGGTGTTACCCAGTCAATATTCTGCTCTTATTTCATAGTATCTATAGTAAACGTATAGGCTGAGCTTTTGAAATTCCCTCTGGCCACAAAATTGCCATCTTATCTTTTACTTGACATAGCTGTGTTCTAATTTACTGGCTTTACTACGTCTGTTTGTCTGTGTCTGTCTTTCTTTCTAATTGATGCCTGATGAACCCAAACATTTGCTTGTACCTTTCAATTTATTTTGTATTTTCTTGCCTTCTTGTTTCCTTTTTATTTAGGTATATACATGCCATACCTTTTGCCCCTCAAACATAGAATGTTTAAGTAACCTCTATGCTCTCTCACTTTTGTTAAATCCTTCTGCCTAAAGTTTAGTGTCCCAGTGCTAGCTTTTGTTCCAAAACTCCAACAAAGAAGTTCTAAAAGTCCATTTATTAGCTAAACTACAATTGTTTCTCAAGTAACACACAGTTGCTGGGATGAGACCAAATCATGAATGGCTTGTCTTTTGGACTCCAATAAACAATTTTATGGTGTTGAGCAACTGCTTCTCTCAACTACCCTCCTGTGTGACATATGTGCAGTTAATGAGATAGTAATAATGGCTGGCTTCAACTGTTTTATCGGACTATGAACACCCACCCACAGAGGAAACCAACAGAGACACAGTAGGGAAAAAGGCAATGAAACTAATACAGAAATTTCTCAAGTTAGTTTTCAGCACCCAAAACACATCACTTGTCTTGTTCACCAGGTTTTCCTTCCCTGCCAGTCCCTCTGGCAGACTATTATCTTTCTATCCACTCCCCTTCTTTAGGGTATGTGTTTACTGCCGAGTTAAGTCTGACACTTACTAAGCCACTCTCCTGTCCACACACAAAACCTCTCAACTGTGTTTAGTACTTTCAACCTGGGCTAACAGGCAAGACTAGGGACATGGATTAGAACCCGGGCTCTGGTTTCACTTGGGCCAACTGCAGTGAGAATACAAGCTAACTTGAGTGCTAACAGTCTTCCAATACCTCCCTACAATCCTACACCCCCAACCACACACCATGTGCCCAAGACAGACACATTGTCATATAATTCACTGGAAAAAAAATCACAGTCCAGCTCAGATTACTACAGCACAAAGAACCAAGATTACATATCACAAAGTCTTATTAACACAAGAGTGTAGTGCCAATAAAGATACAACGCCAGATAACTGCAATGAAGACATACCACTACTTCCAACTACTACTTACAGGTTCTACACTTTTAAAAAAGGAGCTGTGATGCAACTGAAAGCCTTCAAACTGTTTGAGAAGCTTCGTTTACCTACCTCACTAAACATAAGAATGCAAACAGATAATACTTACAGTCAGCAGCAGTAAAGTTAGGCAGTGAATCGTAGCTTTTTTCACTGTTCATTATATCCTTTAAAAAGCAACACACAGACAGAAAAAAGCTTAATATATAATGAGACATTTTAGTTCACTATTTGAATAAAAGGAGTTTCTTTGATATTAATGGGCATTTAAGTGAACTAAAATGTCTCATTATTTGAATAAAAGGAGTTTCTTTGATATTAATGGGCATTTAAAACCAAAATGACATTTAAATTTAAATGTAAAAAACTATTTCTCAAACAGAAAATAAGAAATTGACAAAGAAAATATAGCCTGCTAAAATAATTAAGCACTTTGAGAGATCTGGTTTACTATGAACATAGTACAAGAACTCTATCAAAAATTATTTGCTTAATATTAATAATAATCAAATCTCTTGCAGTTATATTGTAAAAACCCCTGAAATCTTGACAAGCTGATTACTAAGGGTCTAAATCTATTTCCATTAAAAGTCTATGGTAAAACTTCCACTAGCATTGTTCATCTGAACAGAACAAACAGGCATTAAAGAAAGTAGCCAATAGTAATCACAGCAACAATTATCAATTTACTCAACATTAAACTAGGAATGTAAAGGACTAGTCGACTAGTCACCCGCCTTGCTGCCTCTATCAGAGAGAGGCAGTGGGGCTGGGGGTGGAGAAGAGAGGGGTACTTAAAAGCGGCAACGCTGCATGGAGCCTGGGGTCAGCTGCTCTGTGTGGAGCTGCCGCTTTGAATGCCACAGGGAAGGCTGGTGTCAGGCCCCTCACGGCATTTCCAAGTGGCAGTGCCACGTGGAGCCCATGATCAGCTGGGGACTCCCCAGCTGACCCCAGGCACCATGCGACGCTGCTGCTTTAAAATGCCACACAGAGCCCGGATCTGATCCCAGGCTCCCTGCAGCATTTCAGAGCGACAGCACTGCATGGAGTCCAGAATCAGCTGGGGAATCCCCAGTTGACCCTGGGCTCTGTTCAGCGCTGCCACTTTGAAATGCCGGGTGGAGCCGAGGATAAGCTGGAGACTCCACAGCTGACCCCAGGTTCCAAGCAGCGTGCCAGCTTTGAAATGTACAAGAGACCCCAGTGGGGGTTCTTGTGCATTTCAAAGAGGAAGCACAGCATGGAGCCTGGGGTCAGCTGGGGAGTCCACCCAGCATTTCAAAGCGGCAGCACTGCTCGGAGTGTGCCAGCTTTGAAATGTACAAGAGTCTCCAGCAGGTACTCTTTTGCATTTCAAAACAGAGGCGCCTGCATGGAGCCCAGAGTCAGCGGGGACTTCCCACTGGTCCTGGGCTCCCCAAGGTGTTCCAACTTTTAAATGCATAAGAGCCCTCGCTGGGGCTTTTGTACATTTCAAAAGTGGAACATGGAAGTGCTTATTGACTAGTTGAGTAGTCAATGGAAATTCCATCAACTACTCAACTAGGAAATTAATCGCTACTTAGCATCACTATATTAAACTGCATGCATCTTTTACACCAATGACAAAATATAATGTATGCTACATCCAAAAAAAAGGACAGAAGGCTCCCACAAGTCATTTTTGACATTTTCATAATGAAAAAGTTCCATTTTTTTCATATCCACGTGATTTTTTATTTTGAAAATTAAGTTAATCAGTAGGAAAAAAATTGTTTAAAAGGTCATAATTGAAATAAAAGATTGAGTGATCCAATCTGAATTTTTTGGATTTTCAGTTTTCAAAATTTCAGAGTTATCAATCGATTCAGGACTAGTAAACCCATCCAGCTGCAGCTACCAAACCCTAACTCTTCAGACAGGCATTTGGGAGGGTTGGCTCAGTTGTGATTATCATTGTAATTCTGAAGAAGCTTTCCTTAATGCTGCTAATTAGCAGCAGCAGCCTATCCAAGAGCAAACAATAAGAGTCATATGAATAGCTGGCAGACATACTTATGGAGCATGACATGTTTTGTTTTAATTCAATTCCTAAACTCACCTCCATTATTCCTGTGTAATATGAAAATGGTGTTATCCTCAGACCTTTTACCATGATGTCAGACAAATGGTAAGGGTAGAGCATGAGATGATCTCTACTGTATTTTAACAGCTCCTCATAGTATTTTCGTTCTTCTTTCTTGACATGCTTAACTGGGGGGAAAGAGGTCAGGCTAATATTCTATTACATTGTTATCTCAAAATGGTGCAGTGATTATACTTTTACTTGTAAACAACAAGACCACACACAAAAAGAAAAATGGTATGAAACTCACTTAAAAATAAAGGAGGAAGGGAAGAAGAAAGCTGATGCAAAGATGTTCAGCACCAATATCTCCTATTACCTTCTACTAGGCATGCAAGGTACTCAGAGCCTCTCAAGATCAGGTTAGAAATCAGGGAGATTAGTTATTATTCAGTAGCTTAATCTTATCATCTAATCTTCCAAAGTAGAGGAAAATCCAATGAAAGTAATTTAATGCTAACTAGAATACTGAACTGAAGAATACATTGTACAGAACAATCCTGCATGTTCAGCACTAACAGAATACACATCTCATTTCTAAATGACACATACCACACTGGCACAAACAGACCCAAAAGGAAGATGAAATATAAAATAAATTCACGTTTATGGTTAGAACTCACAAAGTTACCAACAAACCACCTTTTTATGCAGGGCTCCTTCTAAAAGGACACTTCCTTTGACATCATGGCTGTAATTTAATTAAGTCCTCCATTAACAAGCCCTAACTTTGTTTGAAGGTTTCAGATAGTCAAAAATGTTGTGGAAAGCCTCCACTCAATGCAGTATAATGTAAAATGTAAGTTTCAGTATAATGTGAATGTAGATTTTGTAATCTTTTGAGCTCTGTAATATTCCATTGATAGAAATGTAACCGTGTTAGTCTGGTGTAGCTGAAACAAAATACAGGACTATGTAGCACTTTAAAGACTAACAAGATGGTTTATTAGATGATGAGCTTTCGTGGGCCAGACCCACTTCCTCAGATAAAATAGTGGAAGAAAATAGTCACAACCATATATACCAAAGGATACAATTAAAAAAAAAGTGAACACATATGAAAAGGACAAAATGTGTTCACTTTTTTTTAATTGTATCCTTTGGTGTATATGGTTGTGACTATTTTCTTCCATTATTTGATATGAGGAAGTGGGTCTGGCCCACGAAAGCTCATCATCTAATAAACCATCTTGTTAGTCTTTAAAGTGCTACATAGTTCTGTATTTTGTTT